ACTAAAATATGAAAATGAAGGATTCTTCTGAAGAGTCCGTAAAATAAGACGAAGCGACTAAACAGTTCTTTTTGAAACTTGAGAAGGGGAATATCTGTTTGAAAAACGAATTTTTCCAAAAAAAAAAAAGACACAAGTGGCCATCTTTGACAAGGTGACTACTTCCTGGATTCTATTATGAGGAAAATGGATGCTGTAGACTGCCCCAGCACAAGTTTCTGAGCAGAAATCTAACGCTAAAGAAGATATGCAGCCTACTAATAATGTTGAAAGAAATAAAAGCCTACTTGACATCCCTGCCTATCCCCAAAAATGATAAGTACCGCACTCGACACTGGGCAATTTGGTTCCCATTCACTTCGGATATTGTGATTGTTGAAGGAGCAATTGCGACATCAGCAAGAATCCACCTTTCAGGAAGAACCTGAACCACACAAACTGAGTAAGGAGAGAGATGAATTCACATCAAGGAACAATGAGATAACAAACTTGTGAAACAAGTCTGTCCACCGCTTCGTTTAGAATTTCTATGCCTGTAGCCCGTGGAACCTGTGTCACTCCAAGGAAATGACATCTTATAATTTTCTTTGGTTCTTCGATTGGTGTTGGGAGAGATGACTCTCCTGAAATTGTATAAGTTTTAATCTGGTGGACGTATCTGTAAAAGTTGGTTTCGCTCTATAGAAAAACTGAAAGAATTTATAAGTGTTCTGTTTGAGATAAAAAGTAGAGGTAAGAATTAAAACTTCTTCTTCTGACAAAAACTTAATGATAACACTACTCTGTGTCCACTCCAAGAAACTAGGAAGCAGTTTTTCAAAAGATTTCAAAAAAACAACGCCACAGAGTACGATCAACAAAGAAGTCAGCTTTTCTTGGTGTTAGTAGACAACGCGCAACAGCAGTCATAACCAATGTTTTAGCAAAACCATCTAATGGGGTAAATCCTGTGTGAAATAACGTCGTAATGGGAAACAGAAGAAATATTATATATTAATGCGTAAGCAAATTTCTACCAGTTGATTTCCCAAAAGGATAAGACTTGACATCGTTCACAGCAAAAAAGCGCTCTTTAAAACTTTTATTAACAAAGTGAAAATGAGACTTTACCATAAGAAAGGCAAACTTGGGAGATATTCAGGGATGAGACTAATTTAAACTTTTATCCTGTCCCAAGCAAGACCTCTATTCACTCTGCTTCAGCTCTGCTTAAATGATCTTTGATAAACCAACAGTTACCTGCAAAGTTCGAATTGGTCTGTCCCAAAAACCGCTGAACAGTTAACGGTTCTTGGTCAAGACTGTCAAAGCATCCTATCCCTAATGAATTTCTTCGGCCGATTTATTCATGTGCATTTATATCAATGGCCGAAGCATTTTGCCAACTTGGACAGAAGAACTCCATTTTGAATTTCTTTTGAAATATTTGCGTGTAGCATAATGACTCCCAACGTTTCACCTTCGCTTGTAGAAGTATTCGCGACGTTCCCATTACTTCACCAATTTTCAATAAAAATTTCAGCTTTACTAGTTCCAGTCTTCCTATTACAGAGTGTAAAGCCCCTGTTTCTGCCAACTAACAAACAAAATACAAAAAAAAAAAAAGAAAAACTTTAAAAGTTTTAATCGGAAAATGTTATGAGCAGAGCACAGTTACGACCGATAATCCTGTTTCCTAATATTTTTCACTTCTACCATCGTCCTCTAAGCCTCAAAATACTGCAGTCACTTTCTGATAAATCTTATTTATTAATCTATTTACTTCTCCACTCGACTTTAACTGCTGATTTAAATGTAATGAACCTTATTAACTTCTATAAAACTTAAAGGAAAACTAACTTGCAATGATACGTCTCTCCGGTCGCTCTAAGGAGCCAAGAGTGTTCGGACGATGCTGAAGCATTAACCGCTTACAAATATCACGCAGTGTATTAGCGATGGTTCTGGCTGGTGTGTCGCAACGAAATACATGACACATGAAGCGGCGAGTATTTCGATCACGCGCAACATACGCAAAGTCTCTTAAAAAATTCGAAATTTTTTCTTTAGCGAGGAGTAGATCCCCGATGTTAAAGGAAAAAAAATGCTTTGCTGTCCCACAAAAATGGGAAGCGTCAAAATGAAATATGTTAAAAGCAAAACAAATAAATTGCACCACCGACACATGTTTAGACAACAAGCAAAAAATTTTGTCAATTTTGGAGGCCAGTGAACTGCGAATTCAACAAAAGTCAAGTAAAATAACTAAAAATCAAAGGAGAGTTTCAGGGTTAAAATGTACATTTCAATGAATTCTTACTCTTGTTATCATTCGCACATAAGATCAAAAAGTCAGGGAATTGGAAGAAAGTTTTAAAAAATCGAAGCCAGAAAAGCGTCATTTATGGATAAAAAGCTTTTCATGCAATTCAACCAAACGGCAATGCCATAGATGACCGCAGTCAATCACAACAAAAACAACTAGATAACGGCCTACATGGAAGCTAAAAGACTCTTTGAACTATCTATTATATAAGAACTGTTAAAGCATTCCTGTTAGGTTGTCAAATTCTCAACTCGCCCTTCATTTTTACATGTAGAAATTCTAATCAGCACATTTATTACTTTCAATGTCTCCCAGAAATAACCCATTATTCAAATCCCTAAGGGATTTTTTTAACTTTTTTATAACGAATGGAACCTTCCTCTGACATGTGCCTTTCCAATTAAGAAAATTATGCTCAGCGTTAATCGTCAAAGAAACAGAACATTCCCTAATATGAACTGCTTGTCCATCAAACAATTCTTTTCTAAGTGTAAACAAAAGAGGTTATCTGAAAAACTTCAACTTAGTAATAAGCAGTCAATTAATTTTGGGTAAAATGCAGCAGCGGTTACCACATGGCTAGAAGTATGACTAAGCTCACCAAAACTTTAAAGCATTTTTTAATGTAGTATTTCCAATAAGGTCGGAATTAGTTCAGAGATTTGTAAAGTGTTTTTGTTCTCCAAAATACTGCCTCATTCATACCGCATCTCAATATCATTAAAATGCTATCTACAATACTACGTTTCCAGCGTAAACTAACTTCTTTTGACAAAACCGTTTCTTTTAAAATGTAGCTCATGCACATAGTAATTCGTGGTGTACCGAAAGAAGAAAAAAGCGCTTCAAAAACGACAGCCAGAACTCGAAATGTCATAACTTGAATCTCCCAATGTGCTTACGAAATTATCTGCAATTCAACAATGCCTAAAATACAGATCCCATCCATGCGACATATTTCGTTCGCAAGAAATCAGTTCTTACAAAGGCGTATTAACAACTTAACAACCTAACATCCCTCAAGCTACTAGAACAACGCCATTCCAAAACCTGTGAAATTGAACGACAATTTGATAGTAATCGTGCAAAAGTTGGAAAGTTACCTGTCGCTGAAGAGGAGTAAAAAATTTTAACGTTAGAAACTTCAGTGAAAATAAGGGAGTAATAAACTTAAGAGCAGAGTCTAATTCTTCGGGAGAAAAACGGATATACGGCTGGGATGAGAAAAAGAATAATACAGTTTTAAAACACCATTTCTAGAATCTGGTAGCCAAAGCTGCATAAAGTGTAGTGTACTTACCGCCCATTGTCTCTGCCGACACCCCACACTCTGATTTGTTGAATTCTTTCAGAATGTACGACGGCCATTGTGTCTGGATCTATTAATGTCAAGTCATTATCGTCCAATTCCATTATCAATTCCCGGCCCTTAAACAATATCTGTAAGAAACTTCAGAAGAACCCAAGTCACAAATTAGTAACGAAAAATATAAAATAATTTACATCTCCCCATTTCGAAACATTGTCCATAATATCGTTTCTTCCTGTACTTAAATCGACTATCGCTTTATTGACGGCTCTCGAACTTCGTTCTGCAGTCAAATCCTCTTCTGGAATTTCGGTCCATCCAAGCGACCTTACAGCAAATCTCACTGGCTTAAAAGAAAATTGAAATAAAAATGAGTCCCTCTATATGTTTGCTTTTGAAAACTGATCAAGATACTAAAAGAGTAAATGGAAATCCAAGTTTAATTCTTATCTAGTCTCTTAAAAAACGAGTTTTTAAATAAGTGACCACCTCAAAAAATTCTGGTGTATTTGATTCGGAATTTTACACGATCTTCAAATTTTCAAAGCAAAAAAGGTAAATTAGGTTTCCTCTGTAAATGGCTAACACCAGGTTACTTTTTGATATTTGCTCCGAAAAGAAAATTAGCACCTCAGCTGTCAGAACAGACCCAAAGAGCATTTTTAGTAAATCTGAAGGCAACTCGAAAATCTTTAAAAGAACTACAGTAACGCTAGATTATGAATGTAAACGAGACCTTAATTTCTAACAGACTTGACAGCAAACCTGCAAAATAAATTTTTTGCTTTCTTTTGCGTCTACTGTTTCAGTCAGGAAACAGTATGTTTCAAGCATTCTTATAGCATTACGCGGTAAGGTGAAAAAGTAGTGAAGAGGGTTATAATTCATATAAAAAATTCCACTAAAGTCCTTGCATCTTCCATTCAATCTCTAAATTCATAGTCTGCTAAACCACCTATCACCTGTCCATAAATTCCAATAACCACCAAATTATTAAAAAAAAATTTGAAATATTCCCAAAACAATAGAAATATCTTTCAAATCGGTTGATTTCATTACTAATATTATGAAAATTAGCCGATAGAAAACGAGTGAGAAGAAAATGAGTTTGTCTAGATGCAAACAGTCAACGTTAGGCAGTAGTATAAACAAACTTCTTCTATCCTATACATAGACTCTAAACCATAGTCGTTGTCCGGAAGATGCTCTCCTACTGTAACATCAGTTCCAGAAAAATACACACCAATTACCGCTAATTTGGTGAGCAGCGATATACCAGATTCCTTGCTTAGCCAGCAACATAATAAGGACTGAGTACTGAGAAAAAAGTGTGAATCCCAGAGTCATTAAAATGTTTAACTGCTCCTGCGCGAGTTATGTGAAAAACTACCCAACCATATGAGAGGATTTGCTTTCAGTTTCCAAAAAAGTGAATACCATACGAATGCAGTAACTAACAAAAACAAATACATTACAGTTATATAACGGGTGTTTTGAGTGTTTTTATATACTGCATTCTGCAACACACCGCAACTATTTCATTGAAACTTCCAGCTGTTTTAACAAGCGGTTTAAATGAACCTTATTTACAGCACACTCACCGACCTTTTAGAATATTCAGCGAAACATTTTTAATTAAAATATATCTTAGGCGCAAAACGTCGTCTTGCCATTCACTGAAACGCCACTAAACTTAGATTATATTTGTAAAATGTTCGTCGCAAGAGCCTGACCGTTAAAGTTTGCTTTGAAAAACCAGAACTTTCGAGATGAAATAAAAACGTATGAGATTTCCAAATTTATTTGAATATTTTGACGAAAGCCACAAGAATAACCCCACTCTACATCCTCCCTAATTACAAAACACGTTTCAAGAAACTGCCAAGCAAATGCTCATCCAATCACGATAAAATGAGAAATTAAAAAATTTAAATCTAGCCACAGATGACATCACTGCAGTGACAAAAAAGTTAAATTAAGTTCCTCTTCTTATCTTAATACAAACCTGCTATGACGTTACCCTAAAGAACCCGCACTTCAAGAACAAAGCATACTTGAATTTCCTAAAATAACTATAAGATCCATCTGCTAATATCGCTTCCTTAAGGCACCGAGAAATAATGAATTTTCTATAAAACATAAAGTGATTTAAATCTTTGATTTGCCAAGACGTCGGAAAAATATCAAATTTCTATAATATGCAGCTACTATATATTCTGGTAAGAGCAAAAAATTTCGAAAGATGTTGAAGACTTCACTCAAAATTGAAGTGGGTTTCTTGCTATTGTTTAATCATGTTTCTATTTAAATAACTTCTTGTTCATGTACAAATAAGCTTTATAAATGAATCCTACTTTTAAAAAAACCTCATAAAAATCCTTGACAAATTAAAAACGATTTCTACCAGTCAAGAACAACTGAATAAACAGGACTGAGTAAACAGACTTTGAATGAAATTCTGAACAAAAAACAAACTTTTCCAACATCATCGTCACCATCGTTGTCACTCTGTGCGTCATTCTCTATCCGCCTCTTCGTGGTTGTCTGCTTAAAAGCATGTTCTTCAATCACCGGCTGCTGCGGAGGCATTTGAATAATCTTTTGTACAGGCGGTGCTGGTGATGGGGTGTCAACTTGGATTTCACGGTTGTGTACCTGAACACGAGTTGATGGGGGCTGTGGCGGTGACGGTTTTGGTCCACTGGGTGGTGGGATAACTGTTTCCCCACTCTACAAAGGCATAAAAGACATGCAAAAAATCAAATCCACAGCAGCATACTAATATTAAGTTAAAACTTTCAACTACTTATTCAAGCTTAAGCCGATAATGAAACAAAGTTAAGTGATGCCATTTCTACAAATGAAAGAGTGCAAGTAACAGTAATCTTTCTGTTACTGACAATATGATGAAAAAGCGAATTGTGATTCAAAAGTTTCAACGGTGCTATAATAGTGAAGGCTCTAGGTCTGAAATAGTCAAAACAAAACTGCAGAAATACAGGTAAGAATTAAATAACACTGTTCTTCTGGTTTTCCAGATGAAATAAGGTTTGTTGCTTCTCTTAAGAAAACGATAAAAATGTTAGAACAACATTTGCACTTCAACAGTGAAGTTAAAAAATCTGCAACAAACACTGCAAACGCTTCACAGTTTTTTAAAATGTTTTTCGAATATGCTAATACTGCAGAGCAAAACGCATAAAAGACGTGCCATAGTCAATTTCTAGGTTTAGAAGTTTTCTAAAATCAGTGACTCCTAGGACCAAAGATTGTGTTACAAGTTGTTTGAATTAAACACTCGAAGAAACTTGCAAAAAGACAAAATTTCATCACGCGAAAACTGTTATCGACACAAAAATGCAACTTTTACCGGCGGCTCTCGTTGTATAGTACCACTATCAACATGCCAATAATACGAGTACCCGGAAGGATCTAAATAATGTACTTCAAATTATTCTGAGACTCATTAACAACCTTCCTAAAAACCACTAAATTTATCTGGTGGTTAGAAAATTCCTGTCAAAACAGTTGGCCAAGTTACTAAAAATCACTTCCAGAAGCACAGCGCAACTTCATTTCCAGCCTTGCTTTTCAAATCGAGACTTTTCCATACAGATACTTTCTAGCAGCAAAACGTAATTAATTTCAGCAGAGCTAAATTCTTAACCAAAGTAGCGTATTTCAGATGCCTCATGTGTAGCAAAAAGAAAACCTTGGTTAAAAAAGTCAGGCACAAATTCCCTTCTTCCTTTCCAAGTTTTGTCTCATTACTTCCTCATTTAAATTTCTAAAAAAGAAAGTAAAAAAAAATGAAAAATGTCAATTTAAAAAAAAAAAGAAAATGGCAGAATGAAATTCCACCAAACAAGGATACCCTTAATCAATCAATTCAAGTAAAACCAAATGAAGATATTTTACCTTGATGTTTCTCCCAACCGGCTGGTAGTGGTTTCATTGGTGGAGGCTCTTCAATACGTATTGGCCTACTGTACTGACTTTCCACATTTTCTCGCTCGACATTTATTCCACTGTCATGACTGTCCGGGGACAATACAGTTTCGGCAACAGTTTCTTCATCTATGACATAGTCTGTCGGGGGTGGAACCCTAAAAATTTTTTTATTACTTCACAAAAGCAAAAAAATAAAAGTTAAAACTTTAATAAGAAACCATACTAAAGGTTATAAAAAGCAATCTAAATCAGTCTTACAACAAGCAAAAGGAATTATCAAAAATACAGTTCAGCAATCAACACCTTCCAAAACCACGCACCATCAAATAATTATCTACAAAACCGACAAAGGAAAGTAAAATTGGTAATTTACTCGTAATGAGATTAAACCCTAATAGCAAAGTAATTGCATCACCACTAGAAAAGTTAATTCCTTTAAACTCAAATGACTGCCTGCCATATAAAAATCCAGCAAAAACAACGTAATTAAAAAATTCAGCAAAAATTAGAAGGAGGGGAGAAGAGAAGACCAAGAAAGTTTTCAAAGATTATTTGATCGGCTGTTTTACTTTCATTTTAACAGCTCACTCCACATTCCACTGTTTATAAGACGGAATATGAAGGAGAAGACATAAAACACTATCGCCTAATCAGCAATGCTGGGCTTCACAGACATGTTAGTACGATCTAGGATAGACTGGCCAATTTTCCGTCGCAAGCAGATTTCTAGAAACCGCTGACGAAACCAGTAGCAAGCTACGCAGTCGTCTTAAAGAATTTTTAGAGCCGAAGGTAAATACATCGGTAAAAACATTTACATGATTTGCAAAAGAGTAGGAACCGTGACGTTTGCGACGACTACCAAGTTGCACAATGCAGCTGCAAATCGGCTGTATTCAAATTTTGATATAGAATCTGCAACTAGACGCAATATCCAAATCGAGAAGCTTTAACCACGCTCTTTTCTCTAGTAATTTTATAAAACCTCTTTTCTGAAAGAAACAGGATCTGCATTTAAAAACAATGTATTTTGCTTACACCATTATTCTCACCTCCTTTTCCACCCTCTTATTCACTCTCGTCCCTTGTAAAGGTCTCTTCCTAAAATGTTCTTATGGAGAAAAAAATTCTTCAACGTAGGGAAGGTTTACCCCATCAAAAATGACTGAAACGATAGAACAAGAAGAGAACGCAAGTCCGTCCACATAACACTTTGTCAGCTAAAAAAAACAACTACTAACAGTAGTAGTACAACCTAACGATTTTTACGGTCTTGAAAAAGAATCAGAATAAACCAGTTCAGCTCTGAGGAAAATCCTGCTATTTTAAGGAAGAAATTACAGCTAGAAAACGAAGTTCCAACAAACTTAGTGCACTAACAGTTTGCCGTAATCTAGATTAATCGGAGTAGCATACCCTCGAATTCACTAACAAAGACTGGCCTTAAACACCCCAGGTTTCAGTCCTTATGACACACTCCATAGAGCTCATTCCAGCGTACAAAAAACAGTCTATCTAGTACGACGAGTGCTTTCTTGACCCAAACGATGCAAAGAAGATTAAAGCTAATAGCTTCAGCAGCAGTATGAAGGTGCTGTCAGCAACTTCCCAAAAGACCCGCGAAGATGCAATAGTGAGAATGGAAATTACTTCGATTATCAATTAAACCCAATGGACTTTTTTAGAACTGCAGAAAAAACCCAAATCCATCAAGTTTGTTACTTCAATTAAGGTCATTTCGAAAGTGAAACAGGATTTATTTTCACTATTTACACGAACGTTTCAAAAGAATTGGTTCAACCACTGTTTGCGTATAAATGACTGTGTATCGGACTCAACTCTGAAAACTTATCTCATTGCAGTCTTCACGACTTTACTTCGTCTTCCCCTTAAAACACATCTATGCGTTACTGATTGAACTAAAATTCACTAAACCTCTTAGAAGCAACTCCAGAAGAAATATACCTTCATAAAAAAATTCCGTCTTAAGACCCGGGGGAGTTGGAAATGCTTAGAATAAAGCATCTGCTAAATTAATTAACATTTTCACAGGGTTCAACCAGAAAAGAACATGCAACATGCCAAAACTACAGACAAGAAGCTAAGTAATGAAATAAAATTGCTTAAAATTAAGATGCAAACATAAAAATTAATTGAAGTTTAAAAAGTGATTATGCTCCCTTTATCACCGCTTAATCACCGCGCCCCCTTATTCTGTTAATTCCTCCACCATGATTATGTGAAGCAGTACTGGCACTTCAGAGTTCCATAAAAAATGCCAACTCCTTGTAAATCGATAATATAAAATCTGAGCCAAAAAGCAACACACCTCTGCATAAGATTTTCCAAAGTCATTTAATTTGACAAATTATTTAAAAAGTATCCAAGTAAAGCACTTAGCAAATGAGGTAGAAAAATCAAAATTGTGAAAAAAAATGCAAACCAAAGAGGACCCAAATTGAAGAAACTAAATTTAGAGGACGCAGGCCTCAAAACAGGAACAAAAAAGCAGTTTCAAATATATAAGCCAACAATACACCGGCTTGCAAAAGTTGGGGCTACAGATTTTGAACTCTGAAGCATAAAGATAACTGTTATTTAAAAGCTACATTCTCTTGAAAAGCTGCTGAGCTGTGTTTGAAAAATCTATTAAAAGAGAGAATAATAAGGGCAACAAAAGTTATCACTCGTCCATTAAAAAAATTATTAATCATATACCAAAAAAAGTAGATTTGAGACTTCTACCAGCCCATTTACATGCGAAATTACCAGAAAAAAAACTCGCGATACTTCAATAAAAGCATGGCTCGTTTCAAGTCAGTTTTAGGTCAAGCATTCAGTTGGAATCAAGATTCCTAGCTAAAGATTACGGAGTAATGACTCCAGGTAATAACAAATTATAAAAAACTTAATAAGAGTACATGATGCATCAAAGAAGTGCACTAGTTAACAACCTCATAGGCTCCTCCTCACGTCGTCGTGCTTGATCTAGTTGCCAATAAAACGAATACGGATCACGATGCTCGGTCAATATTGTAGTATCACCTTGTCGAGAAATACGAACTCCATCACGAGAAGCGGCATCGATAGCAGCCAATGACTGCCGAAAATCTGTCGGACTGTAATCTACTGGCATAGTGGTCCGATGGCCGTCAGCAACGCCGTCCTCGTACTGGGGACCTTCTGTATGAGCTTCACGTGATACAAGTTTTCGTTGCTGTTGATAATTTCGTTGTCGTTCCTCGAGTTCTTGCCGTCTCAGTTCCTCGTTCCGAAGTTCCCGTTCCCGAATCTCTTGTTGACGTCGTTCTTTCTCTCGTTTTTCTATTTCAATAGCTTCTTTGTGTTGTTCTTCTCTTCTTTCGGTCTCCCCGAGCACCTTCTTTTGCCAACTTTCTCTGTCAAAAGCTTCCTTATCAACTATTCGTTCTCGCCACTTTTTTCCTTGACTTCCTTTTTCCTTTGCTTCTAGATGATGGCTTGTTTGCTCTTCTTCTTCCTCACGAAAATCCCGCCGATGCAGTTCCTCTGTTGATGATTCCCTTCTTTGTTGTCTCTGCCCAATCGACTGTCGACGCTCCGGCTCAAAATGTTCTGACTTACGAGGGTCTTTCCACAAAATATTCCTCTTTTCTCCTTCTCTCTCGCGAGATCCTTAAAGGAAAATGATAAAACGTTGAAGCTGACGCTGAATCACACAGGTCCTCATGAAAATAAATAAAAGTTTTAAACAGTTCTAATGTCGATTTAATAAAAACGAGACCTTCCACTTCCTCCCTCCGGAAGCTTGTGTCGTCTCTGAACCGATGTTCACGTTCCTCAATATAGTAGTACTCTTCTGAGCGTTCGGTTTGTTCTGTCTCGCTATACCGACTCTTTAAAAAAAGAATAAAGGATTTACATAAATTTGATGTATTATTCTCAACCGACTTGTTTTTAAGCAATATTAAATAAAAGAATAACCAGAATAAGACACAGTAACATAGGACAGCCAAAGTCTAGATGTCTCTAGACCAGTGATTCTCATAGTGGACGATATTCTCTTCTCCATAGAGCAAGAGAAGGAAGCTTTGAGAGTGTCAGCAAGGCGATGAAAGTTCACTATGAAGGGTGAATCGCCTAAGATTTAAAACTAGTTCTGAAGGTTACAGTGAACCGCGAATGCTTTGATAATAACAACTGACAGAACTCCTGAGACTGTCTACTTTCAGAGGAAGAGAGACAGAAAAAACTTTTTGATAAGAAACCGTCATATACCGAATTCTCACTTGTTTCTAGCGTATTACAACTGAAAGCAAATGTGAACATATACAACGGCGATTAAGGGTGGGTCGATCCAGTAAAATGGCAATAATAATTTTTTCTTCTGAAAAGCAATCAGAAAAAAAAAAAAA